AACCTAGGCCATTAAGACGGTGCGTGTGCTACATCACCGTTGCGTTTGGTCTGTACGTGTGCCTCCGTGTTGAGTTACTTGCATTTCGGGCGTCGGTTGTTAATTGATAGCCCCGGTGTGGCTGCGCTTGATGTGAATGTTGACAAGGTGCCTGTACGTCTATTACCCCCCACGTCGTCTACAGTGGTTCCAGGAGACTGTGAAACGTTGCTGGGAAGACGTGGGACACGGTCCTTGTGTAGGTGCTAGATTGAAAGAATGGTTCCATGCATCCAGTGTGGAGCGGGCTAAGTCGCAGCTACCGCACTGTGTAGGCCTGGTACGCATGATCTCCCAATTAAGCATGAACGCTTCTGCTCCGCTTGTTGAAGGAGTGCGGGCCGCCTACATTTATGAAAGGTGGCTCCAATTCACATTCCTCCCGGTCTTATTCCTTCGGGCTTACACTAGGTATGAGGTGTGTGGATGGAGCAGTGGGTGGTGCGCCTAGAAATCGATACGGGGGCCTCAGTTGCGTCAGTCAACAATCGTACACCGCCCGACCTGCCGCTGGTCCCGACAGTCTATTTTGCGTTCTTGTACCGATGAATCGCTCAAGTTCCTGGGGATGCGTGAAGTAATGGTTACTCGTAGGGCCGACACTTTTACTCTTCCCTTAATTGTTGTTAACAAAGGCGGCTGGAACTTGTTTGGTAGAAACTGGCTCAAACATGCAGGAACTACTTCAAACCGTAAAAATGCGGACCGTATTTCAGACATTTCTTCATTGTCGAGAATGCACGCTTGTGTTTTTTTTTTGAAACACCGCACGGTAAACTACGTGATCTTAAAGGTTCGTTCAATGTCAGACAGAACGCCCAGCCGACATCATCATCATCATAATCATCATACACGTTGGCTAGGGGTGGGGAACACCTCAGCTACTGTGCTGCAACACACAGAAAAAAGGAGAAAAAATGCAACTGGTGCAAGCCGGCTGAGCTACCGGTAACGGATGGGCATCGTTCCGGTAAGCTACCATCCGGCTACTGTGCATCAAAACAATACTATGCGAAACTATATAAAGCTAAATAATGAGATCGTGGTTGGAGGGGGAGGCTAAGAGGGATGGGGTGGGACAAAGAAATTCACAGTACGAACGCCACTGAGGCAGGCTCCTAGCCATACCAGCAAGTGTATCCAACCAAACGTGTTCATCGTCTTTCGGACCCCAACCAGGGAGCCGAGACGCTCCAACTGATGCCAGCTTCGAAGTGAGGGCCTTCATTCCTCTCAACCAAGTCATCGCTTGGCCACCCCTCCTCTTCTTCGATCCACACCTCCGGCGCGCAAACAACGCACGTCGCGGGAGTTGGTGGGCTGGCATGCGTAACACGTGGCCGAGCCATCGGAGCCTGGTGCGTGAAATGACGGTGCTGAGCGGTTCATTTCATTTTCCTGTGCCCTAAACAAGGCGTCGAACACGCACGTTGCTCACGCGGTGTTCCCACTAGATGTGAGCTAAATTACGAAGGCACCGGTGGTCGAACGTAACTAGCCTCTTCAGGTCCGCTGCTTTAAGCGGCCAGGTGTCACAACCGTACAGTAGGGTCGAACGTACTGCTGCATTGTACACTCTATCCTTCAGGGCAAGAGTGATGTCGCGCCGCCGCCATAAGTGGCGAAGGTTAGCAAAAGCATCCAGAGTTTTTTCTATACGGTTCGTGCCCAGCCGACATATTTCAAAGCAAGGAGCTTAGGTTTTGCTATCCGTCCGAAATTTGTGTTAGAGCTGCAGCGCCATCAAAAAGATAGAATATCATCGACAGTACACCAGTCAGCTCAGGCCACGCCAAATGTTCCAGTACAAAAACTCGATGGCACCGTCTGTACCTGTGGTGGCTACAACTTGACTGTGAACCAAGCGACGACGTCAGGACACTACCCTATTTCACGGATAGATGACCTGTACGCAACTGTCAGGTAGCCAGAAATTTTCCAAAGTTGATTTAAGTCACGTTTACTCCCAAGTAGAGCTGCACGAATTCGCCAGGGAGATATATATGGTTGGCGGCATCCGATTTCGGATTTGCCTGTCACTGTGGCAAGCCACAGGACGCCTGCGCATACAGAGGGACTATGGGTGGCTTACGCTGCACCACCCACAGCTCCAACCACACACCCATATCCAGTGGAAACCCGAAGGAATAACACCGGCAGGCATGCGGATGGGAGCCACGTTTCATCAACGGGGCCGGCCCACACTCCTTCACAGGCAAACACAAGCACGCTATATTTCGGTAATCAACCGCACACAAGGCGGTGGCTGGACCGTAGTCCGCCCCACAATGACTGCATGGAACCACTCGTTGAGCCTAACACGGTCACAAGGACCGTGCACCCCGTCCCCTCCAGCAACGACCAACTGTCTCCTGGAGCCAGTATGGACGAGGTAGCGGGTAATAGACAGGTAGGCACCTTGTCAACATGCACATCAAGCGCAGCCAAACCGGGGATATCAAACGACAGTCAGGGAGATAACAACCATCAATAAGCACATACGTTTGTTCCACTACAACAGATTCCCATTTGGAATACATTTTACACCGGCAATATTTCAGAGGATTATTGACGATTTAGTGAAAGGAATACCCGGGGTATGCGCTTATCCAGATGACGTTCTAATTTCTGGTAGCAGTGATCACAAACACAAGACAGCGCTTGCGACGGTCTTGTAACGTCTCCAAGAAAGTAGACTAAAGCTGAAGGAATCCAAGTGCATTTTTCACAGACAGTGTTCAGTACCTTGGATTTCGTTTGGATAAACACGAATTGCCCTCGTTAATGGAAAAATGTTAGTCCATTTGTGACTCTCCGAGACCAATCAACATCAGTGAGCTGCAATCCTTTATTGGTATGGTAACACACTATAGTCGTTTCCTACCTGGTTTGACCACCACGCTCAAACCAATGTACGCGTTAACACAAAAAACGCTAAGTGGCAGTGGTCAGGTACAGAACAAGTCTTACGTTGCTATCAAGGCAGCCATGCATAAGGTTAATCTGCTAGTACATTTTGCTCCGAGGTAGCCCATCATTCGTCTCAGCATCAGGGCGAGATGATCAGACTGAGAGACCCATCGCTTTTGCATCTAGAAGCTTAGCATCGGCAGTGAAGAACTACGCACAACTAGATAAGGAGGCGTTGGTCGTTATCCACGGTGTTAAATCTCACCAGTATCTTCAGGGAAGAAGTTTCGTAGTTTAAAATGTTTCGAAATACTAGTAGCTCGGGTTGATGAATCAATTGTTCATTTGTTCTCCGAGCTTGGCGGTTTTGTCGCAAACGTTTCACCACCATGGGAGGTGGCATCCTCAGTGCACTGAGTGCAGAGTACTTTGGCCCGATTGATGGAAAGCTGTCTCCTTAGGGTCGATGCCTATCCAAAATGGATGAAGGTATTTCCGCTGACACACGCCACTTCCGAGACAACTGCTTCCTGCATGCGAACATGTTTTAGCACATTCGTTGTTCCACAAACGCTAGTAACAGACAACGGCTCTGTATCCACTAGACAACAGCCTCAAGGGTTCCTTGAAAATAATGGCATCAAATATGTGAAGACCGCCCCTTACCACTCAGTTTCAAATAGACTAGCGGAAAGAGTCGTGCAGACAGTAAAAAACCGGTTGCAGCAGCAATCACTCGCTCCACCTCGAACGAAGTTGGACTAATGTTTATTCGCCTACTGCTCCACCCCAAGTGAAACGAAAGGCAAGGGTCCAGGTGAACTGATGTTCGCCGAAGACTTGGAACGCAACAAGGCTACGCTTTTTCGATCAGAGACTACGCGTCGAGGTGCGCCCAGAGAAATCGAAGGAGAGGTATGATCGAAAGGTATCAGATCGACAACTCCATGAGGAGGAGCCAGTTTAGCTCAAACTGTCCCACGAACCGACTTGACAACCTGCAGAGTTACGCCAGAGGGCGGAGGTTGCACTACCTAACGACAGGGTGGTTATCCATTGTATGGATCACGTCCGCCTTCGTTCTGTTTCAACCGGGCCAGACAACATATTTCCAAGCCCCTCAACTGTGCCAGTAGTAGCGGAGACCACACAGATCACAAGCCATCCAGAAGCCTAACCAATACGCCGCTTGACTAAAGTCCGCCGGTGCAAGAAACAGGAGGCTCTTTAGGCGGGAGCCTGTATCGTCCTTGGAACCTGACCTGACTTAACCTGACCATCCAGTTGATCGTTACCAGTGCCAACTAAAAGGAGGAAGGTGGCGCATGAGTCACCGCCTCCAATACGTGTTCACACCCAGCGCTGACTGTGTGCATGTGTCTGTCATTCGATTACTTACTGACTAGTGGCTACGCCTGTTATTTGATCGATGCTCTCTACACCTGGCAAGAATACACGTTTGCGTGCTAGCAGCTGGTTCTGTTCTGCGTTCCTTGCATCATTCGGCTACGAGGCATTATTGCATTCGCAAGTTTGCGTTAGCTCCACACGTGTAGACTTTAACAAAGACGTTCAAAGCGGTTTGCAAAAGGTGCAAGTTAAAATGAAAATGGTGTACACAACGAGTGTATCAGAAGAAAGCTCTAACCAAATATAATAAAAAGGTAGGATCAAAACTTTCCGTGCTGTAGGCTTCTACTATGGTAAAAACGTAATAGGTCTAACACAAACCAGTCTGACGGCAGGGGGACCAAATGGTAGGAAAAGTATGGCTGCATAGACATTCAAAATCGAGGATTATGGTATCATACAAGAGCATACTAATTGCGTATAGGGCATAAAAAGTGAAATAGCCGTGGAAACGAGTCCTGATCGATTTTCGATTCGAATGCCATAAGCAGTCTCTCGATAACGTTGTGTCTATTCCTGTTGAAATTAATGGGCTAATAAGTCTAACGTGCTTGAGAAAAAAGGTAGTAAACCACAAACAGCTCTAAGACGATAGCGAATCAATAGTAAAGAGAATAACGGCGACCAATATCGATTCTTACGGACAATCCAATGAATCGATGAGTTAAAAGTCCATCGAACTGATTTCCGGAGTGATAAACGCAGTATGATGTGAGAGCGGCTTGTCTCCCCGTGTGATAACCCACCCAGGTCCCCATAAAGTTTCCTGGCCTTCTATACCACGGTATTCGACCGGTTGTCATTGGAGTTGGAGGACATGTGCACAGGTGCTCCATTAAGCCGTTGCAATAAACGAAACATTTTTGTCCAGAAATACCATGGGACTGAAAATTTTATTTAGTAAAATCCTCGATACCTGCATCCGAATCTTTACGACATCCAAAGGAGTCATCACCAGCGCAGTCAACAGTCCGCCAACTGAGGAGGCGATTACACGATCCAACCCAGAGGGTTCCATTAGAAGCGTTTATTGAAGCAACGTCGGTAAATGTGCACCTCACATGCGCCCATGTAACAAAAACTTTAGCTTGCGCTCCAAGTCAATTTCCAGTTTGCTTTAAAAATTGTACTGCAATGATCCACCTCACGCCACACCCATCTGTAATATGCGTCTGGTCGCGGGTTCCGAGGGCTTCTGTGTCCGGGGCTTACGCGGGTCGTATTAGACCGCGGGGGGCTGTAAGGTAAATAAGATACTTTTTAGGCGGGTTGAAAATCACCTAGCAAGTGTCGAAGCTGAATGGATGGTGTGTTCGTGCCACATCTTGTGGCAAGCTGAGCGGTATGGTCAGAGCTGCGGATAGAGGACCAAACACGAGGCGACTAGATGGATAGCGTGAAAGCGTACAACAGTTAACTAATACCACAACACCGAAGGCGAAATGGAAAGTAAAGAGAAGAAGAAACGACGCTCACAATATAGGCTACGCTGAATGACAACTTACTTGCAAGCTTGCTACATAGACACTGGCGTGCTACATTCCTCCCCCTCCTCTTATGAGGCGCTGTCAGCGTCTACATAAGCCCTAACCCGTGTCGATCTGTTGACGCACAGACGGATGAACGCTGTGATAGGTTCGGATGATTCCGCGTTAGGGGATGCTATTTCTTGCTGCAAAATCTGCAGTCCTGCTTCATGGACTGGCGTTATGAACTGGCAGGGTCGCCAAATATGTAATGTGTCCGGTCGATGGTTCCGAGGGCTTCTGTGTGCAGGTCGTATTAGATCGAGGGGGGTGAAAGACAAAGAAGATCATTCGTAGGCAGCTGGAAAACCGCTTAGTAAGTGTCGGAGATAGACGGAAGGCGTGCATGTGTCATATCCAGTGGCTAGCGGGGCGGTACTGTCACAGCTGCCGATAGAGGACCGAGCGCGAGGCTGTAATTCATTGAGTTGTAGACAGCACGGTGGAAATCCGTTGTCAAACCCACCGATTCCGTATCATACATCGTTTGATGCGTGTCGTTGCGTTACTACCTTCCTCGAGGGTTTGTCGCAATTGCAGTGACAGCCGCAAAATTCCAGCATTCTAAGCGAATGTTTGTCTGACAGCCGCTTGAAACTTTCCTCGTATGGTGCGTCTGCAATTTCTTCTGGTAGGCCGTTCCAATCATTTACCCCTCTAGTGGATAGGGTGAGGTCCATGCAAATTCTGTTTCTTTGCGTAAACAGCTTCTATGTGTGACTTCGTTCGGAACAGTCAGTGTTAGGCCGGAAGAATTGTTAACTCACTTCCAAGTTCCCCTCGGAGGATGCGCCTAGTGTAGATGAGATCACCCCGGCGACGGCGGAGCTCGAGGAAGAACAGATTCAGCTGCTGGAGTCGAATGGTGTACGGGAGATCATGAAGCCCCAGAACAGCTTTCAATGCACGTCTCTGAACCCTTTCTAGCATAGCGCATTCAAACTTTGAAAGCAGTTGGATAGCTGGTGCGCCATATTCTAAGACGGGACGGACGTACGAAGTGAACAAAGGTCGAAAAACCCCAGGAGTCATTCGAGCGAATGATCTTAAGGCAACCACCAGTCTCTTTCCAGTGGCCACCTTCTTCAAGGTGTCCTGCGTCGTTCTAAGATCAGAAGTCACGATAACCCCGAGATCTCCCTCGTGAGTGGTATTCCTGAGGAGAAACCCACCAATGTGGTATGCACCGTACGGTGTAGTGCTACCCACTGGGAGAACAGCGCATTTATCTCGGTTTACTGACAATTCCCACTTGACGGACCATCCGTGTAGTTGGTCTAGAGCCCCTTGTAATCTGTCCGCATTCTCAACGCTGGATACTGTTGATCATAGTTTGAGGTCATCTGCGTAGATCAAGCAGTCAGTTGGAAGTGCAGTCGGCTGATCGTTAATGTATAGTTTGTAGTGCAGTCGGCAGAGCGTTAATGTACACAATATCTTGGAACATATTTGGAACCGATCGGGAAGACATCATTTCAGAAAACTTGGTAAACGACCGGTTAATGTATTTATGAGGATACACAACGTTTCGCATTTGACACAAATGCTTCATCAGGCGAAGTGAATTATCTAAACATTGTCATTATATAGCGATCATGGCTAAACTACATACAAAGACGAATCAATTTGCAGTTCATCTATGAATGATAACAGCGGTCAAAGGTCAATATGTTCGCGGGTACACTGTAGTTTGTTTCAGTCAGGGTCAAGTGGGGGAAAAGAAATTGCCGGTCCGTGGATAATTGCATTGTGGTTAACAATCTTAATTGAACCGTTGCAGGGAACTTGGACACCGATAGAATTTGGCTTTAGTACTTCGGAGTTTGGTGGAGGGTGGGCCGATAGTTCATTCCGACTTGGGATCCATCCGCCGATGCTTACAAAGCTGGCCGGAGTAAGACTGGACGCCAGGCACTGGACAGCCCTACTCCGTCTATTCTATTCACGCAGTTGTTAGCCTTGGTTATTTCTATAGCCTCAGCAATCAGCCTTTGTTTGGCTGATCGTAATCCCCTCCTGATTACCTCCACATTTTCAAAGTCAATTTTATGTCCCGTGTCTAGCGCATGCATTGCTATTGCTGAATCTCTGAGTAGAGCTCCATACTCTAGCTCATTTCGCGGAGGTCGTGATATGTGTCGCCTATGTTCTGAAATCCTTGTACGTAATTCCCTCGCTGTTTGGCCTATATACACTTGTGTACAATTCACTTGTGTATAATTCACTTCGCCTGATGAAGCATTTGTGTCAAATGCGAAACGTTGTGTATCCTCATAAATACATTAACCGGTCGTTTACCAAGTTTTCTGAAATGACGTTAATGTACAGTTTGAAGAGCTCTGGCCCAAGCACTGATCCTTGGGGAACGCCACTAGTCATAGGCACAGGAGCAGAGAGGGTTTGGTTCAGTTGTACGCACATTGTTCTACCTCTTAAGAAATCGGCAATCCAGGAGTTTGTGTAGAACTTTATCAAACGCTTTACTGAAGTCAATGAATATAACGTCAACCTGGTTTCGGATATCTATGGCTTCTGCCCATGTTACTCTGGCGATGAGTAAGTCAGGGATGTACGAGCGTGCTCTCCGGAAGTCATGTTGAGCAAGTGAGCTGAGGTTTAGGTTCATGCAGTGTAGATGGAGGGCGCACTAGACTATTCGTTTCATGATTTTGCATACGACTGATGTCAGACATATTGGCCGCTAGTTCCCTGGGTCTTGTTCGCCTCCTCCTTGTATTTTGGCAGCACGGTAGTTGCTTTCCAGCCTGTGGGTACGCAGCCGACTTCGAGGGATTGACGAAATACTTGGCAGAGAGGAGCGGTGACGTAATTAGCTATCGTTTTGAAAAAGCTGGGATGCAATCCGTCCGGGCCTGCGGAAGAGTTCGGGTCCAGTTCGAGGAGTAGCTTAGTGACTACTTCTGGGATAATTTCAACTTGGTCCATAGAGAAGTAGTGTGCAGGCAAACAGTTGTGGAGCAGCGGAGATTCCACGGAGTAGACCGAGGAATATTGTGCAGCCAGTAGGTTTGCTTTTCAATCGCCGTAGAGAATGGAACCTTCCTTAGAAGAGGATAGAACGGGGATTCCACTTCCCGTTTTGGCATTTCGCTTCAAGTAGGCAAAACGTTTTTTGGGACAGCTTTTGGATTCCATGGCGACTGCTGGCTTGCCAAACTACCTCCGCGTGGTGCCAGCTGGGTGGATCGGGATAATCCCGTCCCAGCGAAAGGTTCGGCGGCAGTGTTCCAGGACGTGGTGGGTTTTCGCCTGGCAAGCGTTCTCCCTATAAAAAGCCACATATGTCCGTTTAGCAACACTGCGACGCGGCAGACGTGACTTGCCACTAAATAAAGTCATTGCTACTTGCTTCACCTCTCTGGAGTATTGTAATCATTCAGCTTGACGCTGAATTACTGGGAGTATTGGGCCCCTGTTTGACAGCCAGCCAAACGAAAGACGTTTGAACCGAGCAATCGGTCACCGGCTCCCAATGGATGCGATTCCCTGAATTCGCCCCGCTGCCTTGCAGGTCAGGTCCCTATGACCAAAGGCTCCGGGTGGGGCCCCTAACTTAACCCCCTTCCTCGGCCTGGGCAACCGAAAAGCTATATGCCCACACAACATGAAATGATGGATTTACGACTCTGCTCACGTTTCTCGCTCTCTGAACTCTTTCTCTTTGGCCGGGGTGCTGGCGGCCCGACATGCTACACCTCACTCTACCGCACCGCAAACCACGTTCTTCATTCCACGTTTATACAACCCTCCTGTTCTTGGCAACCTGCCTTCCATTTCGAGTCTCTAAAAGTGCATTGCAAATAGAAACGGTACCTCTGGCCTCCTCAATGAATTGCTCAAAACCGGTCGCACACATTCCAATACCAACAGCAAGGCTTTTATTGCACCTCGTTCGCTCTTCAAGCTAGCTACGTTCAATGTTCGAACGCTCATGCAGATTGGTTTACAAGCTGCTCTTGCGCGAACCTTGGAAATCCTCTCAATCGACGTTTGCTGCCTAACCGAAACCCGTTTACAAGACTCCAGCACAACGCTGCGATTGCCCTCACCCTCCCCAAGTTCCAATTGCACATTCACATTGCGCTTATCTGGAGATGCGACAGCGGCAGCCTCTGGTTGCGCCGGCGTAGGAGTTGCGTTAAGCTCGCGTGCTGAGGCAGCGCTCAGTGACTGGTCCACGGTCAACAGTCGTCTTTGTGCAGTCCGTTTGGAAAGCTCAGTGCGATTTTCCAGCCACGGGACCAGTAGGCGCTGCTTATTCATTGTGGCGACATACGCTCCGACTGACAGCAGCCCGGACGAAGCTAAAGACGAGTTCTACCGCCAACTCACCGACCTCCTTCGCGAGAAACGACGCACGGACATCGTGATACTCGCCGGTGACCTAAATGCGCAGGTCGGTAGACCAGAGGTTCATGAGCGCGAACTAGGGGGTCAACACAGCCACGTTACTTGCAGCACGGACAACGGCAATCGACTCCTGCAACTGTGCGCCGAGCATGGCTTGTTCCTTTCTAGCACCAATTTCCGACGTTCCTGGCGCCAATGAGCCACCTGGCGACCTCCGGCGCCTGGTCAATCTTGGACGCAAATTGACCACAAGTCAATATGGAACATTTACCTGACTTCGGATCATGCGCTCGTGCTAAGTTCGTTCTGCGTTTTGGAGGCACCCAACAGCGTTGCCGGAA